TGAAAATGGATTTTGCAGCAAAAAGTAATGGCAATTCAGGGTTCTAGTAATTTTACAATAATTTGAATATTTCTTTACAGTGTATGCAGCATACATTTGTGTATATTTTTTTATGCCAGCAACATCAGCTGCGCATTAATTTATCATCCCTCTGTCTTTTTATTTGCATAACAAAAAATTCAAAATATTTATTTGACGGTTTAACAATCCTTAAAGTTGACAAAAGACACCCGTAAACATGCGACATTTCCAACTGCTACTACTAATTACAATAAAACAAAATTTTAAATTGTTATTTACAGAAAATATATATAACAAGAAATAATTTGACGCCTTGAAAAAACTTCGAATGAAAAAACTTCGAAACAATTTCAGAAAAAATTAAAAAAAATTTCAGTTTTATACACTAATAATAAGGACACTAATTATTGAAAGAATGCTATAAAATGAAGTATAATTTAAAATTGCAAGTTTCACACTATTAAAAAACGGTTTTAGATTCTTGAAATTGAAAATTAGCTTGACTCTTTATCGTAAGCACCATGTTCTGTACGCTTTTGAAATTTAAAAAGTGCCATTTTGAATATTTTTTAAAATTTTACGAATGACATTTACCACTGTAATTTTCAAGTTGTCAAATTATTTCTGTATATTTCTCTTACAAGGCGACAAAGAAAGACCTCATTTCTTTTTGACGTTGGCAACAAATAATTGAAAAATCAAGCTTGTGAGCTGAAAGTGTAAACGTGCTCGTTTACGAATTTGTTTTCTGTAAGTTTCTCTATTGCATGCCATTTAATTAAAATAAAAATAAAAATTATTTCCATAATTTATTATTTAGCAAAAACTTTAATTTTTTAAAGAGCAATCAGTTTAGAAGATTTTAATTGTTGATTTAAATTCTTAAGATTTAACACTAGAACACGTTTCAAGTGGTAAAGTTGTAAATTGTTGGAACCTCAATTTCGACAAAGCAAAAATTAATTCCACTCCAGCAACATCAGCTCATCTTGATGCCCTAGAATCCTGTTTTATTAATATGAATTCTGATTCCCTTGTTAACAATATTCATTCCTCACTATCTCTCCATAGCACGAGAAATTTCATCTTAACCTGATTTGAGATCAGTCTGCGTAGGGACCGAGGGTGTGCGGTATTGGTCCTCGTTAAACTGTGCTACCGTAAAGTGCTCGACTTTGCGCGCAGGTCGTCGGGCTACCGAAGCGGGGGTGCCATCCCCTCCGCAGAGGATCAAAATTGTGATGGCATGTCTTCGGATCATCCTCCGGGATGTTTCCCAGACCGTCGCCAATAGCCCAATGTGCAGCTCAAGTGCGACGTAAATTAACAACAACAACAACAACCTGATTTGCCCTTCTCGGCAACTGCGGTTATTCCTGGTCTGTTTTTCTTTCTTTTTCTCTCTCAGCTACTGTGGTTTTACTAGTTTTGTTTCTCAACTTTTTTTTTTCATTTCCATCTTTACGTATTATATTTCAAAACACTCTCATTTCTTTTCATTCACGTCTTGAAAATGGGAACGTCTTCAAGGCTCGCGAGACTTCTTATACCCGAGTATTGTGTTCGACTATAAAGAGAAACTTGTAATATTTTTAAACATTTAACCTAAAAGGCCAATTTCACGCCAGCAGGTGATAGACTAATATAGCCTTCAACGCTGGTGCAAGATCTTCAATAATGAAAAATATAAAAGTTTCAATCAGTGATGAAAATAATTTAAAAACTACTAAAAATATTTCTTTACATTTTATTCTGAGATTATCTGATTACTAATTAATAAAACTTTGATAACAGATTAAAATTGATGATATTAATTTAAAAAGCTTTTAAAATAGTACTTTTCTGTTCCATTTTTCAAAAAAAAATTTTTTTTTAAGCATTTAAAAGGATAAGCTTATAAAGCTGAAAAATCTAGCTGAATAAGCTTAAACAGAGTAAGTATATAGCTAATCTCTAATGTAAGATTTTTTTTTCTTCTATTATTGTTTAAAAAATATAAAGATAAATATGTAATTTTCTTTGAATATTTCTACCTACCTTAAAAAGTTGTTTTTTATGTTTGATAGTTATGTAAGGTATTCAAAATGTAAGTCGCTATTCAGTGAAAATAGGCATCTAAATGAAATAAATTTATACAATTATATAACAAGCTCTTTGTTTTCTTGGCCTCGATAGTTTTGTAGAAATATTTTTACAAATATACTTGGAATAAATATAACTTATTTTCGTTGAAAATTATTTTAAAACCAAAATAAATGCATTAATTTTAATTCTTACTGTTTTTTCTGTCAATGCTTATTTTAAATTTATTAAAAAAATCCAGTTTCAAAGTAGTCAAGTTTCTAGTTTATTCAAAACAAAGTCTTCACAATTCAAAATAAGGGATAAAAATGTTAAAAGTTAAGATAACTTTAATATAAATCATACTGTATAACTTTAATATAAATCATACTGTAAATTTTAGTATAAATCATACTGTATTTATTTAAAACAAGTCTTTTGAAAGTAGAACAGTTTATAATATTTTTTGTAATAGTACTTTGAAAAAAAGTGTATTTAATGGATAATTAATCTTTTGTTAATCTTTGTTTTAACATTTTCCCTCCGAAATATTTGTTTCAAGCATAAAGAGAAAAATCTTATATTCCTTGAATATTTAATCTATCTTACAGTTACTTAATCTAACCTAAAATATTTCATTTTTTTCATGTTTTTCATATTTAATTTGCATTGTTTCTCAAAATGTTGTAAAATTTCGTTTAATTTCCTAAGAAAAAGCAGGTACTCCTTTTTAAATAAAGTATCTTCCAATTAATTACTTTTTTTGAATATCTGTATGCTAACGATAATTCAAAAAAAGAAAATCTCAAATACAGATAACAAATAAAATTTTCGGAGCAGAAACTTTTACCTATGAATAATTGCTTAGCTATTAATTGCATCGATTTTTAATTATTAAATTTCAAAATGATGGCGAATTTCTCTTCTAAGAAAAAGCAAATAAAATATAGGATTTCTAATTGTTTGGTTATCATGAATATCAGTGTATTATAATTGCTCTAAGGTAAAGAACTAAAACCTGTGTTAATAAAGCTGTACAAAATTGATTAAAGTAATATATATATATATNATATATATATATATATATATACACTATTAGCTTACTTTCGTTTTCTTTTTGCTTCCGTTTTTAATTCGGTCTTCTAATTTCGTGTGTTTAGGGCATTGCTCTTTGAGCCTAATTTTTGGATTTAAGCAGCAATAATAATTTGGCTCCTGCTAAAAATCAATTCAAAACGAGTAAATTCTGTTATTTTTTTTAAATAATTTTTTTAATCCTCAAGAGCTATAACACATCTGCAGCAGAACTGGATATGAAGACGAAATTGCAGGACAGGAACACTTTAATTGTCCACTAATCTTCAGATTTCCTGCAATTAATTGTTAGAGAGAACAATACTTCATTCTGTGGACAGAGTTAAATCTATTTTTGCAGTTTGGGTCAGATGTCCTATAATAGTTTTTTTTGGTTTTTATCTCTTATGACAATTTTTTCGGTTTTATCTTGTATGACATATTTTTGGTTTTATCTCCTATGACAATCCTATTGGTTTTTATCTTTTATGAATTATGATATACCTTTAGAACTTTTATCTCATATGACATTTTTTCGGGTTTTCATCTTTTATGACAGTTACTTTTTTTGAATTTTATCTCTTAAGCATAATTTTTTGTCTTTATCTCCTATGGCAAATTTTTTGGTCTTTGTTTATGAGAATTTTTTGGTTTTTTTTTCTCTTATGACATATTTTTGGTTTTTACTCCACATTTTTTCTGGTTTTTATCACTTATGATAATCTTTTTGGTTTTTTATTTCTTATGACTTATTTTTTGGTAATATCTCCTATCGCCGCAACTTTCTTCTTTAAGTAAAGTAATCACTTACAACAGTAAAGGTATTACTTATGAAAATACAAATTTCTTTATGCAATCGGTAATAAAATTGTTATTAACGCATAATTGTATTGTTATATTAAATATTGTTATTTAAGTATAATTTTGAATAACTATAAAATATTTTTAAATTACAAAATATCCTTACTTCTCCATTGCGTTAATCTATTAAATATTGAATATTTTTACATTTTCAAAGACGGAAATATATATGAAATTTGTTGAATATTTATGATTTCCTTAATAATATTATTGAAGATTTTTTTAAAACTTCAATTACTTTCTATCTAACAAGAAAATATATGCATACGTTAATATTTTTTGATACTTTAAAAAAATCCAGGAATGCTTTTACAGTTAACAACTTTAAATTTTCATTGAAAAATCATTTTGATATTTTAAGCTAAAAAATATTTTTAGTTGCTTTTCAGTTTAAGTGTAAAGAATAAGTATTTTTATGTTTCTGGATTTGTGTTTCGTGATATTTTGCATTGGAAGTTTTGTGAAAGAAAAAAAATAAATAAAAAATAAAAACAATAATAATAAATAAAAGCAATAATAATAAAAAAATAAATAAAAAATAAAAGTAATAATAATAAAATAAATAAATAAAAAATAAAAACAATAATAATAAATAAAAGCGATAATAATAAAAAAATAAAAAAATAAATAACTAGAGGGATTCAGACAAAGATATAGAAAGTCCATTTCGAATAAAACATTATTTATTAAACTTTGTTTTATTGAATGTGTTTATTAGACATTTATAAACACAATGGAATAAATAATTCATTACAATCTGTTTTCTTTTGGCACGTTAATTGTGCCGATTTGGCCCAAGCATAAATGCTTAGCATAGGAACGTTAGTGTATACATTATTTACATATTTTATACGTAAACATTAGTAATTACACGCAGATAAATCATTATGAACCGTAAATTATTATTTCAGCACAAAAGAAATATTATTTTCCTTATGAATTCAGCAATGTAATTATTAAAAATTTTAAGCATCTTTATTTCTCAATGCTATATATAATTAATAAAAATAATAATGCTCACAAGTCACTAATAGCATTTTGTATTGTTGATATCAAAACTACAAATTGTTAAAAATTGATTTTTGTGGCTATCACAAAAAAATATTTAAGTTTGTTTTCAAATTTATATAGTTGAAGATACAATTTCAGCTACATTTTATCTGCGTGCAATTTAGCTACATTTAGAAACTCAACATTTTAAACTAAAAATTTAAATTAATTTGATTTATCCCATAAATAACGATTACATTTAGAAAAACAATTATCGTTTGTAAAAATTAACTTATGTTTAGAGCTAGCGATTGCAAAGAAACTTCCAAAGTGTATGCTATAAATGCTATATTTGTATTTCACGTAAAATATATGGTGAAATCAGATTTCATATTTAACACAATTCAGCCATTGCTTTAGATGCTATAACTGTAAATTTTGTCTATTCGTTATGCAAAAGTAAATGACGTATATTTAAAGTTAAGAAAAGATTCTAAACATTTATATTTAAATGAATCGTTTTCTCTAACATGTGTTGCCATTTTTTAACTTTAAATTATAATTTTTAATATTTTATAATTTTTAATATAGACATCTCGAAGCACACTTGAGTGATTTTTAAGTTGTGCAGAATTTTAAAATTAATTTTAAATTGTATCTATAGAAATGCAAAGAAAAGCTCATACTTAAATTTTAATTACTTTTATAAATTCGAACATTTATGAATTATTGAATTATTATTTTTATGAGGAATCAGCCTGTAAAGAGGAAATTACTTGCAATTTAAAAAAAAAAATACGTTTTTTCAAATATGTAACATAAGCACAGACACAAAATTTTTATTGTTTACTCATTCTATTATTATCTAATAGCAAAGTTTCACCGGTGTTAATTTATAACCTTCCTTTAATAAGTATAAATGAGAAAGTTGTTAATTAAGCAATATAGAATAACGTCAACTGCAAATTTGCGATGACGATATTAACGGCATTGAATGTTTAAGTTAGAAATTGCATATAAGTTCAATATTTAAAGCAATGATGTTTTCTATCACTCTTGATTTATTCGATGTTGCGCTATAATTTTTGTACTAACATTTGCTAAATCATTGTCAGTTTACTTATTATTTGCTTTACTTTTATCGATTTATTAATTATAGCTTCCACCCATTTCGTCTTTGAAACAGAAATTTTTATATCTGTTTTTTATACTTAATCACAAGTATTTTTACTAGTTATTCGAAATACAAAATCTCAAATCTAAAGGAAACATCATATTACTTAGTAGTTTACATTAATTTGGTTCTCTATTCAAATTAAATGAGCTACTGAGTTTGCATGGGAATGAGGAAAAATATTTTGTGCTTATATAATTGCACAAAAGAATTCAAGTATCTTTATTTTACCTTATTTCAATTTGTCTTATTTAAAGTAATAAAATGCTAACAGAAAATTTAATTGAATGTTTAAGTTAAAAATTATTTTAAACGAAATGACACAATGAAACTGTTTTAGTGCATAATATAAAATTGACTTGAGCCACCATCATGCTTATTTCGAACTTTTAACTTATTTGATAAGAGTACACAGAGAAAAAAGTATGGTTAAAATTGCCAGAATATAGTCGGAATTTGCCGTGTTTCTGGCTCTATGAGAGCAGCAAAAAGCTCTGCAAATTTTACTGAAGCGCTTTGATAATGATTTTGGTAAAATAAACAATAAAATATGGCTTTACAATAGACGTAAAATTTGGCAAAGAGGGTAGAAGTCAGTAATTTTTTCAATCAATTTACCATAGAGATTGACTTAAAACCATTTATTCGTTTAAATTTACTTCTCAATTTTGGATCTTTTACTAACCGTGGTAATAAGAACTAAAAGTTTGAACACCGGGATTTCGAGGAAACAGTTACCATATAAATGGAAAAACTATCAAATGAAGGGTTTAAATACAATGTATTTTGGTTACCATTTTATTAACCAGAATTATAATTGTTTTTTAAATTTTTTTTAATCAGAAATGCTATAATTATGCCATACGGTATATTATACCATACAGAATTGTACCATACAGAATTTCTTTTCATTTAAAAAGTTAAAAAGTGTTTGAGTTTCTAAAAGCACTAAATAAATAAATAATAACAATGATAAACACCGAGAATAATATCACGTCGCAAAGATTTACTATAGTTCATCTTTGATCATGTTTAAATTGTACAAAATCATCCAGGAGTGTTTTCAGTAAATGGACCAGGTGGTTGAGCTGCAGTTCATACCCAAACAAATTCAAAATTACATTGCATGTTTTTTATATATTTTACAACAAGAAAGTAAGAAAGCAATAAATATTTTTAATTATTTCAATTTCGGGTAGCCTTCTAGATTTTACGGAATTCCCGTAGTTTCAAAAAATATTTTTCCTAGTTTTAGCAAATATAATGCATTAATATTTTTTGATTTAAATGAATTTTGTCTAACACTACATACAAATAATTTAAACAAATATAAGCAAGGTCAAATAGACAAAAGATCATGTCATAAGTTGCAGTAAAAATGTAAAACAATTATATAGATATTTTTTGCTAATTTAGTTTGCTACCACTGGAATAGTTCATTCGAAAAAATCCAAAATAATGGAGGGTATGGCTGTAGGTAAATCACCTGTTCCTTTTTCTGAATACGCTACTGAAATCAGTTTGGATTATTTTTAAAAATAGCAATCACAGCCCGATTGCTCAATACAGTTCTTTAGGTCTCCAATAATTTTTCAGAGTTCGTACAAGATATACACATCTATGCAAAAATTTAATTCACAAAGCGCTCTTCAGGAATGTTATTCACAAATCTTGTATGCAGTAACTTGATTTCTTAAAAAACTGTTTTTTTTTTGTGAACATTATAGTTTTTCGACTAGACTCCAGCAAATAAATTGAATAGGATTGAAATTTGTACCGTACGTTGAGAGATTTTGAGATAAAAGTTGAGGACCAAGGAGGAAGAACTGTTCATGTCAATTTTACACAAAAATGGTGATCGGTTCATCATTTGTTGCATTTTGAGGTTTAATAAGTTTTGACAAATAAATAACGTGAAAAATGAGCAAGATCACACAGTGAAGATGGACCGTTCTATGGATGTTCTGTCAGCGAGCTTGTGTTTGTTTCTTCTCAGAATCAGCTTTCATAGACACAAGCCATTCTTTCCCCTTGATCTCCAATTGTGCTAATATCTTGATGACATCATTGATATGATATGAATTTTAAATGAAAATTTTTTTTCATGGTAAAAATGCTTTTTGCTTTTCATTGGCTTTTCGAATATTTTTCACAGGTGAAGTTGACTGCAGACTCTTAAGTCTTTCCTCTATAATTACAACCGGATCAGGTACACTCGTACAATGATCAGGTACATTCTTACAAGTTGGCCCGCAAACTCGGTACTTATTTACAACACTTTAATGTCCATTTCATCAGAACTGCGGTCAACGCAGTGGGAAATATGAGGATGTCCACTATCATCGTCTCCAGGACTGTCCGGTGTATGGCATGGGGTGACCTTTAAGTCTTTAAAAGCATCTTCGTCTCGCATGCAGTCCGAACTTTTGGATACGTAAGAACCGACGTCACTAAGGTCAGGGTTTGGATTGTGTTTGGTGGGGAGAGTCTGTTCTCTTGATCCACCACTGGATAGCAACTCGCGTTCTTTGGAGTTCCTCCACTTCATCCTTCTATTTTGAAACCAAATTTTTACCTGGAAAAGAAGAAAAAAAATAGCTATTAATTGATAATAAATTATAAAACTTTTATTAAAAGTTAAAAAAAATGTGCAAGTTAAGAAGAATATCTTTGTCCTAACTGCTTAGTGTTAGAAATGTTGGATAGCATTAAAACATAACATCGGGTAATTTTACGGTTCTAAGATCATTTTACGGCTCTACCGTAGCATGAACTTGCTTTAAATAGCTAAAATGCTTTAAATAATACGAAGAATAAATGTAATAAGAAGTATAAGAAAATAATAATATATAAATGTATAAGAAGTTTATTGATCGAAATAATTTTCGTAGTTATCCCGTATTTTACTTTATATGCTAAATTGAGGCATAAAATTCCACGTCCCTGATTTTAAAAAAAAGAGTTGAATTAACTTGAAGCTCATCACCAATTAGTAAATGTTGGGTAGGCTCTTAAAATGCAAAATAAAATTATTAAGTGTTGAGCCGCAGTGGCTCAAGGGACAGAGCGTTCATAATTCAATTAGGTGAGCCAGATTCAAACCCCAGCAGTTTGAACCCTAGTGGACACGAATTCTGCTCCAGAATCACATCGACCACAGTGCATACGTAAAATATCCTCAGTGATAGATGGATCATGGGTTAGAATTCCCTTGCCATCGGGCTAGTCATGGGAGGTTTTTGTGATTTCCCTCTCACGAGTAAAGCATACGTGAGTTAGTTCCATTGAAAAGTCTTCCACGAAGACCAATTTCTCTCATTGTTTGATCCAGGATTACCCTTGTCTTCTGGGTTGGGTTCAAAATTACAGGGCTACGGAGTTGAATACTGACAGTCGTAAACTCAGAGTTGGTTCGCTCTTCAACGCCGGTTATAAAATTAAATAAAATTAGTAACTGTAAATTAACTGTAAAAAACTGTAAAACTGTAAATTAACTTTCATTATAAATCACTTTTTGTGGTGTTTTCTAGCATCTGTTACAATTCATGAGTATGTATGATATTAAGGTTAAAATGAACAGGAACATTATATATTTGTTTTAGGGTTTCGTTCACAATTAGATTATAGCACTTTTTTTCATATTTTTCCCAATTTTATACTCATATAGATTTTAGAAAATAGTTTTTCTTTACAGTTTAAAAAAATAAACTTTCCTACTATATATCTTCTATACACAAAATGCCACATTTGTAGCATATAATCAACTCCTCTTTAGATGTTTTTTTTTTTTTTTTAACAAAAGTGCTTTTATGCAAACTTTATTATTACTACATATTACCAAAATGAAGTAATATTGTTACACGAGTTTGACATTAGGAATTGTGTACAACAGGATCGAGATTTGGAGGAAATATTTATCATTTATGACCTGCAATTTTAAAAACTAAAATTTTAAAAATATGTCCGTACATAAAAATTTAATGCAACTATTTTGACCAAGAAAAATGTTATTAAATCACGTTGGGATTCGTGAACAGTTCACTTGTGATTCAGGAAAACTATCTATCATCGAAAAATGGTTCTAAAAATTTCAATCTTTTATTTTTAAAACTTGATATAATATTATCAATCAGGAAGAATGTCATTACATGAGTTAAACGGTGTTCAGTTGCGTTATGATTCGAAATTATCTCTTATAAAGAAACCATTTTAAGAAAGTATCTATCATTTACAACCAATAGTTTTTAAAACTCAAATATGTTCTTTAGTTTCATATTTGAATGAGGGTTATAAGAAAAGACAGACACCTCATTTCTTTGCATAGCGCATGCGCGAATCAATGAGACGTAGCAATTCGTATGACAAGCGCCACTTCCCATTGGATACAGCTGTGACGTCATTGCTATTCACGATATTCAGTCGCATCCGTAGATTGAAAGGGGAATAAGGGGAAGGGGCCACCAAGTAAAGGGCCGTTAATGCAAAAGCTCTACTGGTTTTGCATGTATGAGGAAGTTTTTGGCATCACCTGATATCTACCACTCTTTTTTAAAGTTATTTTTTGGTTATGGATTTTTTTTAAGTTGTGTACTAGGAGAAATAGGGCTTTGCTCATATATATAAATGTATGTATGTGTTGCGTTGCGAATATATTCATGCATATGTTACGCTGAAATATCGAAATCTGTCAATTCTTAACATTCTTTTCTCAAAATCTTTTGCTTTTTTTGAAGGGAAAAAAAGAGGGTAAAGCCTCAATCGAATACTGAATAGCGGTCATGGTTTTTGTAAATCTCAATTGGTTTTTTTTCCCCGTGAAAGCAGGATATTGAATTTAAAGCAAAATAATTTTATATGGGTTATAGTCCTATTGCCTTAATTGTAAATGGAAAATTGCAACAAAGGAAAATTAACCAATTTGATAAAAAAAAAAGGGATTTTTCGTGTGTCACTTATAAAATTTAAAGCTGTATAACTTCATATTTGTCGCATACTTGCCAAATAAATTCAGTTTTAATTCATTGACGCTTTGGCACTAAAATTTGCAGTACTTTTTGTCTGTTTTGTGATAGGCAACAAAACTGTTGAAGTAATATGAAACAAAGTGAGATTTTTGTGTTAAAAAGTAACAAGACTGTTGAAGGAGTCTAGAGCAAAGCAAGTTTTTTTTTTTTTTTTTTTTTTTTTTTTTTTTTTTTTTTTTTNTTTTTTTTTTTTTTTTTTTTTTTTTTTTTGTGGGGGGAAGCAACAACACTGTTGTTCTAACGTAAGAAAAAAAAGGAACAAGTTTGTTATGAGGGGAAGAAGCAAGACCTCAGCTCTTTTCCAAAAATTAAAATGTTTGAATTTTCCATTCAAATGTGGCTCAAATTTTAGCTATTGAGGCAAAATGATTTCGCAGAACTGAGGAACCTCAACGAATTTTATTAAATAAGTTCATTTTACTTTTATAACTTTCGATATCCTCTCTCTATATTTTATAGAGAGGATATATTTATTTATATATAGATAAATATATTTATTTATATATAGATAAATATATTTATTTATATATAAATATATTTATTTATTTATCTATATAAACAACTTAAATCCTAAGTAAGTCATAAACTGATTAGTGCATTTCATAAATAATTGTAAGTGAATTGAAATATTTATTCTAATGCGACTGTAGCAAAAGTATTTTTTTAAAAGATAATTTTTATATGCAGGTTGAAATATCAAAATATAAAACAAAATAGTAACATACGTAAATAAGCTGAACCATAAATATAAATACTTTTTATTAATTAACAAATTAATTCAAAACAGAATTAAAACATAAATTTTTAAAAAAAATTTACCTTTTCCAACCTTGTTTTTAATTTTTACTAGAAAATTCTCAAATAATAATTTATTTTCTGAAAGACAAAAAAAGCTTCTAAAAATATTTTATCAGATTTTCTCTTCTCTGGGGATAACTAAGCCGGGAAAAAAAAGGAACAAAGAAAAAAAAACTGTCCTGGGGTTAATTAATTTTTGCAGAGTTGAAAAAAGTACATAAAAGCATAAGATATGAAACGTTTCAACTTACAACATGTCACCATTTAAGTAACACCTGTATATTACAAGTGAATTACCTGTCTTTTGCAAAGACAGTACAGGCATGAAAAAACTCATTTGAAAGAAGGCAACGAGAAATGTGTCAATTTTTTTTATGAAAATATTTTCTCATTAGGAGTTTCAAAACATAAAGATAAAGATTAAATGTGGGCTTTAGAGTATTTGTTGGATTTATTATCTGATTAAATTTGAAAAAGTTTTAGCATAAAAAGAATTTTTTTCCCTCAGATTTACTCATTTTTTTCTAATAAATTTTTAGCAAAGATTCACTTTTATCTTGCAAGAAACTATATTATTATATTTTGACATAGAAAGGATATATGCATGTAATTTTCATGCAACATATCATAAAAGTTTATATATAAACGTAGTTTTATGATAAAATATAAAGATGAATTTTCATGATAAAAAATTAAAAAAATAATTTCATAGATTTAACTCTACATTTTTATAACGTATCATAAATGCTTAATATACATATACATTTTTGTAAAAACTTGTATAAATTTTTAGGTATACATACTATAGAAATTCATATGAACACAGATATTTTCATTATACTTTATACTAATTCATAGATAAGCTTTAAAGTATTTGTTGAATTTATTATCGGATTATGTTTAAAAGAATTTTTCTTCTCACATTTACTCATTTTTTTTGAATATATTTCTTCACTATTTAATTTTCACCTTTACTTTTTTATTTTTACCTTTACTTTACCAAAGACCATCGTACTATATTTTGTTGTATAAAGAAAATATGCGTGTAGTTTTTCTGACAACATATCATAATAGTTAATATATAAACATAGCCTAAAGTTTTTTTATAATAAAATACAAACTTGAATATTTATGATAAAATATAGCGAAATTTGTAGATTTAACTGAAAAAAATATGATAACAAATCATAAATGCTCAGCATACATTTAACTTATTATAAAAACTAATATAAATATTTAGAAAACATGCCGTAGAAATACATATAAACGCATACAATTTCCTAACAATCTCAAAATTCAAAATTCAAGATACTCTATATAATATCATTTAAAGAACATTTGTTTCTTATAATATTTGTAAAAACAGCTACAAAAATGTTATTATTAAGTATATTCTTGCTCAATAATCGACTGATTTTTCTGAGAGTTTTTTGAAGGTTATCTTACTAAAATTTCAGAAAAGTGTCTCCGTATTATGGTTCAAGCTGCCCAGATTACTTGTCAATGTTAAACCGGTTTTTTAGATACACTTACAAAATTTTTAAAAAATTTTAAATATTCATTTTTTTCTTCTTAGTTCCAGTATATTCCTCCTAATATTCAAACTGCATATGTTGAGTGTTCTACAGAGATAATTATATGGTGCTTTTTACTGGGAAATAAACACGCTTAATTTAATTGCTCTAAATATGATTTATGTATATTTTTTTCCATCTCTTTTGAATGTTTTGTAAATGACCATGGACAAAGTTTT